CGTCTCACTCTTTACATCAGTAGCTCACAATGTGGCGCAAACGACAAGGAAATCATTTATAGAGGATAGGCATTCTTAGCAGTTTTTCATTTTGGGATTCCGTGAATGCCTCAAGCGCTTTCTCAGCGGAAACCACAGTCTCGCATGCAAGGATTTTGCATTTTAGATCGAAGTCATTTCCGTGATGCTCTTTAAACTAAATGCTTGCCGAACGGTGTTGTCATCATAACGCGCCTTTTTCCAGCAAGATGTTCCTTAACGCGTACTGCTAGAGCATTCCCAGTTTTCCCAATGTAAGCTGTGTTCCACATCTGGCATTCAATCCGGTAACACGCCACTTTTGGCGCAATCTCCAACTGAACCTTTCGGACATGTAACGCAATCGTCTGATATACACTTCACATCGAAGAGTCAATTCGTACAAGCTGGCTATTGTCATTAGGAATGCTCACTAAGACAACATCGCCGTCCAGCTGCGCACGAGCAAGACACCTCTAAACTGCCGCATTTACTCTATCAGATATGAATGGTATAGATAAAGGGACTTGGTTCTGGTGTGGCACGCTCGCTTGCTCAGTGTGAGCCCTTCCGTCATGTCGTCATACAGTGTAGTCTCGAAACGGCTATAGCAGTCGTGTAGATTCTTGCCGTTCTGTTGCACCTGTCCGCGCACGTTTCCAGCAGTTCTGAACGATTTCATAACTACTGTTTTTTATAGGCAACGGAGGATGATCAGATTGAGCATGAAATCCAAATTTTACTCCGCGAGACTTGCATTCCTATGCCGCTTCACACTGAGCGAGCCATCGACACTTTCACCCGCGCGTTAGCGTTGAAAGCCAACCATTGCGTGGAACTCCTCTTGTAAGTCTCATCCATTTTGGACTTTGTTGATGTTACAATGAAACAGTCATCTATGTATCCACAGTACATCATTGTGGAGCGCTCCCGCACTGGTTCTTCAGTTCTGCTCATAAAACAGATGGCAAGCACTGGAGCCAGACGTTGACTCAAAAGCTGCAAAAACTTGATATAAGAGCAGTGGCAGGGTTTCACACAGGGCTACGTGAGCCAAGATCAAACGGTACTATGCGTGTCTCTGTGAGTGATAAGGGAAGAGAATTTCTGGTTATGCACCAATCTCTCGATCGTGAAATTACTGAGCTCCACCTGGGGGATGCATCGGTTTACCGACTTTACCGACGCGCGACTGAACAAGAATTCCTATCCTGGCGCAGACGCCTGTATAATGCTCGGATGGTTCAGGGTTAGCCTGCGGGTCTTAAGCGGTGCCTTTCTCAGCAGACTTTGACAATCCTATCTTTCCTGTCGTTTATAGCCTCTTGAAGACCCACAAACTTGCTACCAGGGATGTGCTGTCGATGTCTCCAGACCCTTTCAAGATGCGACCTATCATATGTTGCATAGGTGGTCCAACTGATCGAATTCATTGTTCCTTAATGGCATTGTCAGCCAGGGGGTAGGGTACCGCCCACCGACAATCTAATCACTCGATCGCAATCGCAAATCTGTACGTTGAGTGATTAGGTAGCAGAGAGAGCGTAGTTTCGAAGAGTGCACGGGATGACAGTCGCATCACTGCGCGAGTCAACGGGCAAGGAATTGGTCCCATTTCTAGGGGTTTGGGCCAATTCACATGGTTTCTTCTTCATCCCTGCTCTACCTTCCACTTCTCCAATTAGCTAACTTTTCATCGTGAATTCTGCCTTTACCCGGATTCTTCCAATGTCTCGCCTGATACGAGTCCGAGACAGAGCGCACTTCTTTCCATGCCCCGACTTTTTCTCCATGCGACCTTCCTTTGGCCGTCCATGGAGTGTGGTATTCGTAAGCTTTTTTTTTCAATCTTTGCATGTCGTTTTTTTGGGAACTGAATCTTTGTACTTTGTCACTAGTGATCGCATCTGAATATTTACGTTGGAAAAGAATGCAAGAATTTTTTGCGGAGGAATCCTTTGAAACAACGTCAGAGATTTACAAGAATTCTGTAACACTTTTAAATTTCCGGTTTGTGGTATCCCACGACTACACATGGTTAAGAAATAATATGGTCAGTCATTACATCAGCCACTAGTGTATGCCAAATCCATGTAAACGTATGCTACCACTGTATTAACCCGTGGAAACTTTCACAACAGCATAAACGAACACTTTCGGCGGAAATGCTCTGACGAGAGGCAAAACAGGATGAAGTTGATCGTTTTCCCGGTGACGACGAGACTGTTGGTGATGCTGAATTGAATTTTCCATATGGAGAAAGCTTCTCATTACCTTCTATTCGGTCGTAGAACTTTGGAAAAATCAAATGTATCAACACTTCACCCAACAGAAAGCACCCCACCCTCCACCCCCCCTTCCAAAAAATTTGTACAGAACCGCTAATACTTGCATAGATCGTTGCTCCAAGGCGCATAGCCAGCACACCTTCCCAAATCACCATCACTGCCGACGGCCCTTGAGTGAGCGAGAAACATAAGCCAATCGCGCTATCACGGGTCACCGTAACGCGACGACGTGACGCTAAAGCTCATTGAAAATTTCACACGAAACTGCGATTCTTCTTGATGAACTTACATGTTGGTTTCTTGTGATTGAACCACGGAATGTCTCCAGAATGGACAAGTCATTGAAACGAAGCTCTCGCATCATGAAGCATGTTCAGAAGGATGACTAGAAGTATCGGCGCAAAAACCACCTAGAATTTCGAATTTGTTGGTGTTTGTGTGCAGGACAAGAGAACATTACCCATATTAGCACATACACATACACGTACTTCGGAAATAAAGGAGAGCGATTTCATAGGTAATTGTCGTTTCTGCCGTCAAGATCGCGCGGCTGTCGAATGCGTGGCGCAACTAAATCTGATCAGCTACGCCAGGCACAAGGTCGTAGGGTTAGGCACTAGGCAACCGTGGTTCATCAAAGATCTAGTCCCCGGCCGAGGCTGCAAACAGGCCTCAGAGACTGTCCTTGCCGACTGGAGTCATCGGCTTTGATATACCTGATTTGACTGCCGTCACACTCCCCCTAACCAAGTATCAGGTCCTGCAAGGGCTGCCCGCTTCAAGAGAAAGTTCATGGGTTCACGTATTGACCAGAAATTTCCGACTAGTCTCTTCGTTTCTGCTGAGTGCGCCTTGGTACATCCAACACGCCTCTATTGGCATCGCAGTTGAGACCGTAATTCGCACTGTGATCGAACCCTTTGTTTGTGTGTAGTGCCACGGCGGGCTTGTAGTTTGCAACCTCAAACTCAAACTTGGGTAATTAAACGTTTACTAAGAAATAAACAAGTGACAAACAGAACAAGTAACGAAACAATGATGTGAACTACAACAAGAAGTCAAAACGTGAAGATTGATCAGTATATCAAAGGATCGTTATCGCAAAGGAGTATTCTTATCACAATGAGAGGAAGGTGGTTACAATAGGTGACAACAAATATGCTAGATACAATAGTAATGATGATAGCAATAATGAGACAATGAGACTAGACTATCGTGACAGGAATAATGAGGCCGATGACAGCAACAGTGATACCGTAATCGTAGTCGCAGTGGCGCTTAGGGTACTTGCGGTGTTGCAGTGTCGCAGAATCGCAGGAATTATTAGGAGAGAAAAGGAACTAGAGAAAACTGGGCTCTCGGCCTTTTCTCGCTCCTTTTATATCACTCTTTTGGCGCGCGATCACGATCGCCTTGGGTGGTCATCGGTTGACCACCCAATCAGTAAATCGAGAGTGAAAATCGCGGGGATTCCGCGATAATGTGTATACTACAATACAGTTTCTGTCAACAGGTCATCATCATATGTATAACACCTTTCAATAGATTCTACAACTTGAGTGGAGGTCGGATGCATGGCCTATACTGAGACGAGATCGGACGATGACGATTGCCCCTTTTCTTGTCGCTTACGTTGGGAATTTATTCTAGACACATTTCGAGAGTTGCCAACGAATTAACTTGCAATGGTGAAGAAGGGAGCGGCTTTTTAGGTGGCCGAGATCCGTCCTCGATAGATCCTCGACGCAAATATCTCCTCAACTAGAAAATGTAGAAGAAAGCTAAACAGACTGTTAGAAAGCGCAAACCTTCCGCTTTCCAAAACTATCTTCTTTTTTCAAGATCTTAAAAATTAGGAGATATTGCCTTTTAAGTGGCAAAAAACCTGAAAATTTAATGTCCTCGACGCTGCCTCGACAAAATTTGAGACCCTATCTCTTCGAGTGTAAAGCTTTTAGATCAATTTCAATATTGCCTGGTAGTAGCAAATCCAGCTCTATCTAACCCTACCACATACTGCTCCAAAGGTTGTGAAATGGGGGAATGGAACCTTTTCATCGAGAGTGTAGATTTCGACGGTTTCGAGCGGGGTTTCGGCAAATCTGACCCACGGATAAACCGCGCTGCAACTGAATGCTTTGCTGTACATTGATGGAACTCGCTTATTCACATCAAATCAAAGTTAGAGGGGTGGGGTCGTATTGAGGTGACTACGTCCTCGACACGATTTTCACCCTGCTGCCAATTGACTCATCAGTTCGCGCTAACCCAACACGTTTAAAGGCAAGCATCGGGATCGGGTTCATAAGGCTATCCCATTCTAATATGGACTAAGGATGGACGATGGACTGACGTTGCAAAGAAAGCTAGGAAGCTACGTTGCAAAGAAGTCTAGGAGGCAGGCAGGCATGAAAGAGAAAATGTGAGTAGCGGCGAGGGGTAGAGAAGTCTGTAGCAGATCAGCTTAGCAAACAGGTAAGATATGGAATGATGGGCGGGCCCTGGTAGTGTTGGTGGGATTTTGTCAAAGTCCTTAGCGCCTAGCGTCTCCGTGAAGAGTTGCGTTGTGCGAAGGTGGCGCGACCTCTGCTCTGGCGGACCACACACCTCTATCTATCTCTATCTTTTGAAAGTAAGTAAGAGGCATGTTCCTTCGAGAGGGGATCTATGAGTGTTGAGCGTTTATTTCATAGGTAGCACTGCTGCGATGAGTCTGTAGGGTGAATCAAGTTACTTTAGCTAAAGTTATTTTCCAAATGTGGGGTACTAATTTTGCAGTGGGTGTTTATTGAAAAACGCACTGTTTATATTATCATTCCAGTCAGCAAGTCTCGTATTCTATTCGCTTTTTAGATAAATTGCATGATCTTCCGTTCGCTGAAATCCTTGTATTCAGTAGGTACAGCGCTGAAGTTGAGTATGAGGGGGATCACGTGAGCGAGGAGTCTGAGCTAGAGTTCAAGACGAAGGATGAGATGGATCATGTATCAGACGACGACAAGGATTCTGTAGGATTATGTAACCTTGAAGAGAAGGAAGACGACCTCGCTGCACCAGCGAAGATAGTGAAAGTGAAGCGTCCTCAGAAGAGTATAGGTTCTGATGAAGAGAACGACGAAAATGAGGAAACATCAGAGGATGAGGATGTTCTCCTAAAAATGCCAATGAGGTGATTTACGCCTTCTGATTTTATGCATTTTTGCCAAATTTTTTCCGAAGATTTGCCACATGATCAAAAAAAGTAACCGATTTCAGTGGACTCAGTGGAGTGAAAGCGTCGCGCTCAAGAGGACTCCTAGATGGAACTGTTATTGCAATCATTGAATGCCTTTCTTTTCCCTTCTGCTGCTTTGTTTTTCCCCAACTCGTCTAGTGGAATCACATTACCTTTCAGTTGATTGTTCATTTATTATATTTATGTCTGAATAGACATGCACCTATTTTGTTTTATACAAGTCCACAAATTCAAAAAAAACAGTTTACAAACTGATTGACATCATGGCTGTGCACCAGAAGCCAAACAATGCCATTTTCCACTGGCATACCAAATTGAAAATGATTAGATTCATTAAACACATGCACAATTCCATTTTTCGGCGAATTATTATACTTGATTGGCTGGTTTCAAAACTGATACCTTTTTTGCATCCACTACACATCGCAGAGGCAATGTAAATGTGAACCTACGGCTTCCCTCT